GGCTGGCGGGAAGGGAGAAGCCGGTAAGGGACAAGCCGATAATAGAGGAGGAAGCTTTATCGAGCTTTATCCTTTGAAAGGTTGTTCGTGTCGATGTCCAACGATACAAAACGCGAATACGGAGCGCCGCGTCGGCGATACGCTCTCGATACGATCTGCGTTCCCGAGGGAGAGAGGAGAGTCTCGCTGGAACAACGGGGTGACGCCAGCCACTGCAAAGAAACCTGCCTCTTCTCCTCGGTCTCGTCGGAGGACGGAAAGGGAGCAGCCGTTCAACCGACAGAAGCACTAACGCGGCCCGGCCAAAAGAAAACCATTAACTGCTTCCACGGGATGGAAGAAAAACAGAAGGGTCAGAAGATGGAGAAGCGGCGCGCGTTCCCTCGTTCGTTCGTTCGTTTCCTTCTTCTCTCGTTGCCGTTTCGACGTGTATATCTCTTTTTTCAGGCCGGCCTCGTCCTGCAGAGGCACGACGTGCCGTTCCCATTACAAGACAGATAGTCCTCTGTTCGCCATTAGGAATCCATTCTGTCCCGTTGGTCAATCAGATCGACACCGATGCGGCCGCATCTGGCAAAGGAAGTTCGACGGTTATAGTTCCAAAAAATTCGCTGAAATTCGAAACTTCGCTGCAAGCGTGGCTTGGCGCCCGCGAGGATTCAGGAGCAACGGAACGTTCGACGATTAAAGTTCCAAGAAATTTCAAAAAATTCGAAACATTGTTACACTGGTGGAAGTACTTCCAAATCTTGATTTAACTTGAACTTTCATTTCAATCTTCTTCCTCCATCTCAAGGTGAGATTTCATATAAGCAACAGATGAATTTACATGGATACAATGTTCGTTAAATACTTTGTCAATTCGGGGACTCCAGGAACCAAGATGCATACTGTCATCGTTTCCTACATATTTAAACGTACTTTGGAAAAATGAGAGGTACATCATTGTACTCTTCTTATAGGAAAAGGAAAGCTTCAAAGAAAAATGGTAAAAAACACGTCTGTGCGCGTCGGAATTTTTCGATTTCGATCGAGTTTCGAGGGGAATTCGATGGAAATTAGACGAGGCATCAGGAAGAGAGAACACGTTCGGTTACCACTACGGCACTGAGCTGTCCCGTGCTAAAATTGGAACGTACGCTGTGCGCGCGGTGTCTCGTCGGGCGAGCGTACCGAGAAGCGTCGCGTTGTCTGGCCATCGTTATTCGCATCTCGCCAACGTAACTGATTCGTTAAATCAGCCACAGTGACTCGGAGACGACACACAGCGACGTAATTCGATACCGCTTTCGTCGCCTTCGACGAAAAGTCTCGCCCGAAATTGCATAGGTTCCAGCGCGATCATCGTTACCGGAGCCTACGTCACGGAGCTACGTCACTGAGGCGAAAGGAATTCGCGTCGGCCATAAGTCAGACGCGCGCGTTTCACCGACTCCCTCGCGATCGATTTCATTCACTCTTTTCTCCATTTCGCTATTCTGTTATTACGAAATTATAAAAAAAATAACAGTAGTAGATATATACGTAGTTTATTATTAGTTATAGTTATAGTTGTTTTTCAACATAGGTCTCTCGCATCATTTTTTATATTCTCAGAGAAATACATTTTCTGGTACGAAATAAGGAATTTATTCATCACTTGCTTCAGTCCTTTGCAGCTAGTTTTAAACTAGATTGAGAAATCTCTGCCACATCATATTGCGCTGAAATTATGCTCTTATTAGCACGAACATAAAATGGCCCAGATATATAGAAGAGACTAAATTTTAAACAGTTTCTTAAAAATTGTACAAATACGGTGATGACAAGAAGCTACAGCAAATATACTACTGACTTTCATATATGAAATTATGCCATCATAAAGATTGAATAACAACTGCTCACAAAAATAGCTCAGACATAAAAAAAAAGGACTCAGCTTCTTAATGTCTCTACAAATACGAATGACAAATGCAGTATTCCGTATTTGAAAAAAATTTTAAAAAAAGCAATCCTTTCTAAGTCAACGTCCTCTCTCTGTTAGTTGCTCGAAGCATTCGCCTCGTTCGAGAGGGTTTGAAAAAGTGTCGTCTCAAACTCGTAAAAGTAATTCGAGTCGGCCGGATCCCCCTCTGTCGTTAGTTGTAATTTTAATCCAGCGGGGAGCATTAACGCGGAACGAGCGGAGCGCGTTAACGATTCCGTAATTCCGGCGAGTTGCAGCGATCGGCGAACGTCTAACCGAAGGGGCTCGATTCCTCGAATCCACGGGAAGGAAAATTCCGAATGTTCTGGGCATTGAGGACTCCCCAGGCGGACTGTTCCCGAGAAATAGTCCGGGACTCGGGACCCGGGACCCATTGGGATTCCAACTCTCCGTCTCGTGGCAGCTCGGATTTTCCCCGACACATATATCGCGGCCCACGAATTCCGCGTCCCACGCGGCACGAAATTTCCACGAGTTTCCCACGGCGTTCGCCAACACCCCGCGATAAAACATCCCGATGATCGATTCTATCTCTCTGTGTTCCTGGCAAAAGTTTCGCCAGACAGCTCAACGCCTGTCCCGCAGTTGTTGCGAAGTTTCCCCGCGTCGCGCGAGTTTCCCTCGCCGCCTGGCTTGCTTGTTTAACCCTTTAGTTATCAGTGACTTTAGCCAGCCAGCGAGGTTATTCTGGTCTTTAGTTACGAGTTAGGTTATTCCAGTTCTCGCGGTATTCTCGCTCGTTCCGAGTGCAGTGAAACGACGAGAAAAGGACTGCCAGTTCGATTTCAGTACGACCACTTTAAAGTCGTAACGTAAAGTGGACAATTTTCTTTTTTTCAAATTATCTTCAACTTGTAATATTTCGGGAAAGTAAAGCTCCGTGTCTCGTTTTGTAGCAAAGAGAAAGAAAAAGTTCTTGAAAAAAAAAATTTTCAAGAGTGTGAAATATTAGGCGTATCAGCGACAATAATTTATTATAACATAGACTATATTCACATTTAGTGTGCTTATTATTAAATTATATGACAGATTAAAACTGCATTAAAAGAAAGAAAAAATTCATTCTTTAAAATAAGCACAATTGAAGTGAACATCGCGAAGTGACAAAAGTCCAAGTCCATTAAGTTTGCTTATTAATTACGCGACCATCAATGACTAATGTAACGTAATCGTAGAGAGGAACGTGTAAATCGAGAGTAAAACGAGCGAGCCAGAGGAGGATGAAAATAAAACACGAGCCACGAGTCTTTTTGCGGCGATGCTTTATTTCTACGTTTGTTTAACAGCGCCGGGATAAATCAGCCAGCCGCGACGCCAGACTAAACTGTTTTACATAAATGACGCGGTCTATTCGTCTCGCCACTCGTAATTTATCGCGCGTCGACGCGATTTATCGGATATTATTTTCGATATATTCGGGAAAACGTTGTTGAAACCACGGACGTTTTCACAGCGTTTCGCTTCAGAAGAACCGAAGAACCGGATCCCGAAGAGACGGAAAAACTCGATGTAACATGTACCGGGTGAAAAATAGCGAAAGAAAGAGCGGGAAGCCAACACGAACGACGAGCAGACGGTCGAAGCATTGAAGCTCTTCAACTCACCTTCCCCGCTGTGAATGGTGACCTCGGTGGCATTGATGGGTCACGATATTTATAACCAACTCTCGGAAAATACGAACTCTCGCGAACCTCTGGCTACCTGCGCGGAGGAAGCGCACCACCGCTCGCTGATATTTCGTCCGGTGACGAAACGGAGACTCGCGCTTTCAAGCGGAGTGCCCGCTTGGAAAAACGCCGGTCGCCATAAATCCGGCCAGTTTTCCGTAGCATGGCTGTTCTTTGTCCGAAAGAGGCGTTCATCTTGCCATGGCTTGCACGGCTCCGCGATGGGATTCCCTCCCCAAAAAGCTGGGATCTTTTGGTGGGTTTCTTCGAGAACTCGCTCGAAGGTGAATTTATTCGTTGGTCATTTAACTCTCGCGCTGCTAACTCGAGCAAATTTTCT